ATCATATTATGTGATATAGGCATATTTATGTGAATTCTGTGGTATTATGTGAAACACATAAAATCACTGTCCCTGGTTCGATGATCATTTTTCTGTTTTTTATAAATGGTCAAAATTAAGCTGCTTTGAACTTATTCTTTTAAAAAAAATGCAAACAGAACAAAAAAATCAAAATTTGGCATCTTTTATCGTTGTATTGGGATTCCCTCCCATAATTTTATATCATGTCAATAAATGTAAATATCTAAAGTTCCGTCTTGTCCGTCTCATTTGATTCAAAAATTAATGTCACTTTATTTTTTATTTTTTTTTTTATTTTATTATTATTATTTTTTTTTTTTTTACGTAAACAGTGTTTTTTTCTAGATCCTTGGACGTCCTTCATTTTATATTCTTTCAGTTGATGTTCTTTTTTGCATATCATCGCCTTCTGGGTATCCCTAGTTTATCATCGGTAGTGTTTGACTATCTTTCCAGAAAATCTCCACATGTCAAACGTGATGTGCCATCCAGATCAATCAACCCACCTGAACATTCCACTATTGAAGATACACCACAATCTCTACAAAGCCCATTACAAAATCCATCGCAAGAATCCTCCTCCACATCTGAAATATGTCAGTATGATTATAGTTACTCTTCATCACAAAAATAATCTTTGAATTTTAATTTCTATTGGTTATATATTTTCTTATTTAGGCGACTATTCTCAACTATATCCCTCTATGCAAAAGGCTTTGTTAAACTTAATCGATGACAATTCATGGCGTCTCTTACATGAAAGTAGGAGTTCTGATATCAAAGTTTACCAAAATCCTGCCATTTCAGATCATAGCTACAAGATTTCATGCACTGTGAACAATACGCTAGAGACTGTTTTTGATTTTTTAGCTGATATAAAAAGAAGGCCGGAATGGGATCATTTAATGGAAGAGGGAAAATTAATCGAGATTATTGATGAAAATACTACTGTTCAAGTACGTTTGATTCGATATTTTATATAAATTTTACTTAAATAATCTGCCTTGATTTTAATTGCTTTTTTTAAAGTATATGCGCATGAAAGCCGCATTTCCGGTCTCCGCTCGCGATGTAGTTACTTTAAATCATATAGTAAAACTTAATGATGGTAGGATGATGATGACCTGTAAGAGTATTAAACATAAATCATGTCCGGAGATACCTGGTGTTATTAGGCTTGATTGTGATTGTGCTGGATTTGTCATCTCACCAATTAAAGATCAACCTAATAAATGTTTTGTAATTCAAATTGCTAATGCTGATCCAAAAGGTTGGATTCCTAAATCTTTATTAAAATTAGGTATTATCGTTATATTTAAGTTTTAATTACTTTATTATTTTTATTTATAAAATTTAACTTACAGAATTTTCTTTTAGTATCAACAAGGGATATGCCTGCCTCTGCTAAAAAATTAAACATTATACTAACGAAATTGCCTCGCAAATGCGAATCAAATGCTTCTTCTCCAAATTCCACTCCTAGTGTTACTCCTAAAACGAACTCTTCAATAGTCTCCCATGTACATGAGCGTAATGTCAGTGACAGTGACATACCTATCATAACTGAATCACCTAAATGTGAGAAACGCGTTCGTTTTTTAGAACATTCTTCACCATCTTCCGAGACGGAAGGTTCAATCGCAAGATATCCTATAAATTCTACTCCGAGATCTACACTCTGGAAATCATTTGTACGAACAATATATTTTATAGAGAATTATATTACGAAAGAAAGGAGTATCACTAATGGATTAGTTATTGCCATTACTATTTTAGCTTTGTTAACTTTAATACGGGTTAGGCAATGGAGAAATAAGAATTTGATTGTATTTTAATATTAATATGATTTGTTGGTTTTTTTATCAAAATTTCTTTTATCATAATGCATCGTTTGTGAAACCAGATATTTATTATTATACCTTTTTCATAATACAGAGGTATAATTATTATTACATATATTTTTTAAATTTGATCTAAAAAAACACTGTAAATTAATATAAACCACTGTTGGATCTTATCTATATGTTAATCATGTCGAGGATAAAGATATCGATATGTTAACTATCTCGATGAATTGGTGGTCTTTTAAGCAGACCTATTTTTAAATTCTTTAATTTTACAAAGTATTGAGTGTTTCGCTGTTCAGCCTGGACTTAATTATACATTATTTAGATGTGTTATTTAAATTATTTGGACTAAATAACGGATAGTTCAAATAAAATTAAGATATATATTATGTTTAATTAAATATTTATTGTTTAAAATTTGTTTTCAAAATCTTGGTAAGTTTCTTATTTTAGACTTTTTAACTTAATTGCTAATAGTTTTTAATTTGCAAAAAAAAAATATAAAAAAAAAAAAATAAATAACATCAAAATAAAAACATATAACAAAAATAAAATAAAATAAAATAAATTAGTAGTTACTATTATTATTTGCAAAAGACTACAGTATATAAGTTATAAAGTATTTGCTTTTATCATATTTAAAGATAAAAACTATGGATTACCCATATATATAAAAAAACAATACCAATCTAAAAATATATAAAAAACGAAAATAACATTTTTTAAAAAACCAATATTTATTGTAATCATTTTTGTATACGTATAACGATAATACGCATTATAACTTACGTACGTATTATATAATAATAGTTTCCAATTAAGGGGGACGTCTAAAGCGGAGGCAACTTATATTTAATAATTTTTTCGATTAATTTAGGGTTAGGGTCTTCTATA